CCCCCAACCCCCTTCCTTTTGGAAAGGTCGGAGTCACCGGCGACCGGACGGAGCACCGGAGCCATGGGTGACCAGAGGGACACCGGAGCCACGGGCGACCAGACGGAGCACCGGAACCATGGGTGACCAGAGGGAGCGCCGGAGCCACGGGCAACCAGATGGAGCACTGGAGCCACGGGTGACCAGAGGGACACCAGAACCACTGGCGACCAGATGGAGCACCGGAGCCACGGGCAACCGGAGGGACACCGGAGCCACGGGCGACCAGAGGGACACCGGAGGCAAGGGTGACCACAGGTCGGAGTCACCGGCGACCGGACGGAGCACCGGAGCCATGGGCGACCAGAGGGACACCGGAGCCACGGGCGACCAGACGGAGCACCGGAGCCACCGGAGCTGGAAAAGCAAGTTAATCCCACGGAAGGAGGCTGAGCATCCCCGCTGGGATCACCCGCCGCCTTCCCACAGCATGGGATGGAGCTCGGGTACCGGCGCCTCGGCTTTCAACACTGGAAACCGGGATGTTTTCAGGGGTGGGGGGGGTGTTAATAAATTAAACTGCCACGTTCTGGGCGTTTTTCTGGAAAATTCGAGCTGCGCTCAGCCTTGTGCTGGGCTACGGAGCGACGGGGCGGAGCGGCTAATGGTGAGAGAACTTAAAAAGTCGACGTTGGTGTCAGTTTGGGAATGGCATGTTCTATTCATACACATAAAGTAGACAACCACATCACCCTCCAGAGAAAACTAGTGCATGCAAGGAACTCGTCCCTATCATAAACCCAACGGCTACGCAGGAGGAGATACACGAGTGAACCGACAGCGGCGAGAGGGGAAGGAGTAGGGATCGTCCACATTTTTACCTCGAAAGCTAAATCAGTGCTTTGTATTAAACTTCTGGCAAACATACCGCGTTGCCGTCCTTTTAATTAACACATCACACCATGAGAAATGCAAAGAAAAGCAGCATGCAGGCCAAAAGGGGAAGGGAGGGAGGGAGGGAGGGGAAAAAAAACCGGCAGCGGGAGGAGTTATGAACGGCTAGATCACCAAGAAGGAGACACAGCGGGTTACACGTTACTGGGGTTTTGCACCACCCTTTGTCCTCGATGCGTCACACCGACGGTTACAGGAAAGCAATCGCCACGGAGTTTGGTACACGGAAACGGTCGGGTGCGGGATGGTCCTCCGGACGCTTCCACCCGGAGGAACGGGGAAAACGAGAAACAAGGGAAACCAAAAGTTCCTTCTCCACGTAAGGCACAGGACAAAATAAACCCCGTTCGCAGGCTGAAGGCGAAATGAGTGTTTTCCTGATGCATCTACCGAGCGGCGGTGGCTCGAGCACGTCACCCACCAGAGGAAATCCCACTGCTGGACGAGTCAACTCTGAACTCTAACCTTTTATTCTCAGACAACGTGCAGGACCGAGCTGATGCGATCGCTCTAGGTTTTAATGTCGGGAGGAACGGGACTAGAATACAACCCAAACGTAGTGGTAAGTCGAGCAGGTACATGGAAAAAAAAAAAAAAAAAACCCCAACCAACCCAAAAACCGAAGTCGCGGAGATGATTTTCCTACACGCGCTGCTGAGGAAATGAAGAGTGAGCAAGCTGTCCTAAACGGAGAAACCAAAGGGAGACAGGAGCTTGTTAAGATGAGGAACGAAACCCATGGGTTTTAAGGTTAAAAACGGGCAGAGTGGTTTGTTTTGCAGCGAGAAAAAAGGGGCGGCGGATGGCGATTGGTGATGTGGGAGAACGCTCAGCAACACTTGCTCTTCCAGCCTGTCACCCCACCGCCACTGCTGATATCTACATTTTCACTGTTGGGCTCTTTTACAGGGGTCTGCAAGGAAACAAGCAGAAAGAGACAGGTGAGACATCCCGGAATAAGAAGTCTTCAGAGCTGAGGAGACAGAGGTGTAACACACATCCACATGGCCAAAGCGGATCGGGAATACACGACGGGCAAAGCGCTACACGGAAATGCAGGGAATCCTCCTCCCCTCTCCAGCAAAAGTATGCAAACCCAACCTAACGGGGTTGGTTTTTGTTTGGTTTTAAATAGACAACAACTGGAAAGCTGGAAAAAACTCCCATATTGGAACCTGGACCAACCCAAAGTACGAGGACTCCTAGATTCTGCTCTTGGAACTGACACTGGAGTCGGGAGGGGTGAGCAAAGCCCAGCACGCAGCTCACTCGGGCTCAACCAGGTGAACTCAGGACCTTAACAAAACCCACGGCGTGATTCAGGTTGTACAAAGCATCTGCTTTCCAGTTAACTGGGACACCAGTTCCCGAGGCAGCGGCCGAAACAGGCCCGTCTGCGTCACGGGACGTGAGCTCGGCCAGACCGAAGCAGAACTCAAAGTCGGGTGGTTGGGATGGGATGCCAACGTCTCCTTTCAGCTGGTCAGACACGACCCTAAACACTCGGGAGAACACGGTGGATCCGTCCCTGCATTCCTTTTCCTACCCTGCCCGGCAGAGCCTTGCCAAAGCAAACACCGCCCCGTGCTTCAGGCAGATGCACTGAGGCCCAAAATAAAGGTTTAAAGGCCCCGAGGGTAAGACTTGCTCAACTGGCCTCCCCCTTACCCAAGGCCAGGGGCCTTTGTCCAGTTTCCCACACAAAGCTGCTCAAGAACTGCTTCAGAGACAACTCAGAACTGAAAGGGCAAACCATCCCTGAGCAGCTGAGTCCTGAAACACTGAAAAGGTTCAGCACCGACCTGGAGCCAAATTTCTAACCAAGTAACTCGGGAGACATTGCCAACGGCACCCACGGAGATGCTCCGAGGGCTGGAGCCCCTCTGCCATGGGGACAGGCTGGGAGAGTTGGGGGGGTCAGCCTGGAGAAGGGAAGCTCCGGGGAGACCTCAGAGCCCCTTCCAGTGCCTGGGGGGGGCTACAAGAAAGCTGGGGTGGACTTTTCCCAAGGGCAGGGAGTGACAGGACAAGGGATGACAGGTTTAAACAGAAAGAGGGAGGTGGAGATGGGACATCAGGAAGGAATTCTTCCTGCAGAGGGTGGGAGCACTGGGACAGGTTGCCCAGAGAAGCTGTGGATGCCCCATCCCTGGGAGTGTCCAAGGCCAGGCTGGATGAGGCTTGGAGCAACCTGGTCTAGTGGAAGGTGTCCCTGCCTGTGGCAGGGGGGTTGGAACTCAATGGTCTTTAAGGTCCCTCCCACCCAAACCATTCTGGAATTCTGTGACTGGTTCTGTCAACCACATCCTAGCTCTTCCCATCAGGAAGGTTTTGGAGAATGCTGCTATCGATGGAGACGCTGGCAGGGACAAGACAATCCTCCTCCACACCAACTGAAATCCTTCAAACCCATGTACGACACAACCACGAGGTTAAGGGCCACACAGCTCCACGTGGTTGCATCCTTTGGCTCTCTGATGCACACGACTCTCTAGACAGTTACCCCATCAATACTGAAACGTCAAACCAGCTCGGGAAGCTGTGGATGTACAGTCATTCCTCCTTCAGGGACCCGCCTTCGCATCCCGAACTCAAAACCTGTTTAGCACTCCAGGTAAACACCCAAAGCCATCGGGAGCAGAGGTTTTAGGATGGGGTGTTTCCCAAAGGAAACCTGTAGGCACGTACCTTTCGAAGAATGTCTTCTGCTAACGTGAGGAATGCCTTCTCGATGTTTATATTCGCTTTCGCACTAGTTTCGAAGAACCTAATACCATGCTCCCTAGCAATCTAAAGCAAAAGAGGAAAGGAGGCGGGTTAGCGTCGCCGCGAAGCGAGCGGTGCCGCTGTGACTCCGAGGTTAGCGCGGTTATGAGCGCGTTACGCCCCGCGACCCGTCGCCGGCAGCAGCAGCCCCAGCTAGGCAGGTGTGCTGGGTTCAGCCAG